CCTTACCAGTCGCCCCTACCCTCCCGCGCAGTCTTAGAAAAGCTTTAGCCCTAAACAGAGAGTTACGTTAGAATAAAACCACTTCAAACACAGAAAGAAAAATAGAGAAATGAGAGGGGGGAATGATTAAAACTCAGACTATTGTACATTTCTATAGTGCCTCTCATCCCACAGCACTTCAGATTACGTATACTCAGCATCGCTGAAAAGCAGCCAACTCTGGGCTGGAGAATGATGGCCAACTGGCACACACTGCAGGAATTTTGGCCAGGATCCCAGAGAGGGGGAAGGGGGCACATCTTCTTAAAGAAAGCGTTAACGTCCTCCGAGGACAGGCAGAATGAAGGTCTCATCTGAAAGACCCAGCACTGCTTTATCCTCCTCAAAAAGATGAAGGGCTGAGACAATTCTGCCAGGATTTCCAGGGAGTCTATGTATTTCAACCTTCATACTTATAACTGCAAGTGATCCCTTCCATCAAAGCCAGCTTCAAACGTTGCACCAGATGGCGCTCCTCTAATCCGGTCACCTAATCCTTTTACATGAGTGCTGCTGTGGTTACAATTCCTAAATACCCTTCCAAGAGTTGATGGCCAAGCCCCGGAAATCCTGGATGCCACCAAAAACCCAGACCGGAGATCTGACTTCCAGTTAGCAAAGGTACAGGAGTTTGGGACATAGAGAGTGGTGGCTCCCATGCTGGTACCAAGGAACGTGCAGAGATCCCTGAACTTCACAGGAACTGAGGGGAAATCCCAGCTTGAGGGGGACCTGTCCCGCGCAGCCAGACAGAGAAACACCTTAAACACACACAAGGAGCAGGCGAGGCTGAAGTTGATGAATCGAGAAGCAGGCAGACGGCATCCTGGGGAAATGGAGCATTGCAGAACAAAGCGCTGCCCTGACTTGGTATCTCCAGATATGGCTCATCTCGTGTTTGCCACTCAGTGGGCAGCTGCCATGGCCTTGGGCAGCTCCTGAGAGCCTCCAGGTGTCCAGTCTGGCATCTCGAGGACAGCTCAGGAGCGGGCAGCCTGTTCTGAATTGGCACTGATAGACTGTTCACTAAAACAGGACAAAACCCATAAGGCCCTTCCAGCCAGGGTGTGTCTGTCTGTTCCCTAGTGTCTAAAGCCCCATTGCTTGGACCAGTTCAAACAAGACTGGGCAATGCACTAGTCATTCTTCCCCTCCTCTGGGACCCGATTCCATCATCTCACGGTCAGGAAGTTTCTCTGGGCATTCACCCTACATTTTCCCTTTCCTAATTTCCCCCCATTTCTCCTCGTTCTACCCCTCAGGCCAGCCTAAGTCATCCCTCGTCCTCCTCTCAAATATTTGCAAACTTCTCTCCCCGTTGGGGGCCCATCACCATAACAGGCGTTTCATGCTTTCCTCACAAGTCCCTGAACCTCTCGGATCATTTCTCTTGCTCTTCTCTGAAGTCCCTCCAGTTTGTCAATAACCTTCTGATCACAAGGGGCGCAGAACTGAACGCCGGATTCCCCATGGGGATGAAAACGTGCTCGCTTTTAAAACGGTGTGAGGGTAACACAGTCGTTTATTGTTACTACTAAAGGAATGGGATTTTTATTTATACGCTATGGGCCAGAGCCTCCGCTGGTGTGACTCGACCCGGATGAGCGTGCGTTCCAGGGCCCAGGCTGTGTGATCATGCTCAAGCCGGAGTAGCTCCCGCTTTTAGTTCTGGAGATTGCCGGTTCAGTCATTGGCGGGTCGGCCAAGACGGGGCTGTCACAGTATCCCATTTACCCCAGCTGAGAATCCGGACCGATATTTATGAACACAAAAATGATGAAAAATTAATATGCCCCGAGGCTGGAACTGTGCAGGTGTCATGCTGAGGATTGCAAATGCACCCTCAAGAAAACCCTCTCTCTGGGATGTCAGTTGCAGGAGTTTAGGGGACAGCTGTCCCTGAGCCCAGCCACAAACTGTAACAGGAACACTACGGCATAGCTGTGAGGGACTCTTACTGACTCTCCGTTGCAGCAGGTGCCCCCAGGCCTTTGGCGCTTGTTTCTTTCCCATCTCCAGACACTTTGCACCCATCAGTCCCCGCAGAGTAGTTCTCAAAGGCTTCTGGGTAACCATGGACCTGACCAACACAATTGAGACATTGATCTGGATTCAGACCCTCCCCTCCCTCCAAGTTCAGAGATGCCTGGATCTGGCATTTTGGTTTGGCCCATTAGAGAGAGAGGGATCCGGTGTGAAATCTGCATCCAGCTCCAGCTCCTTCTCCAACACTTCAGGAGGATTTAGTTCCAGGGTCCCGTCTTGGAACCAGTTGTACGTCGGGGGGCAGGCAGCATCAGCATCAGGTGGCAGCAAAGACAAATGGGTGCAGATCCTTTGGAGACATGGAGATGGGATCAGCCCTCTGAGGAGGGCGAAGAGGATTTATTCTGCAGGGAAAGGCTGGAGCCGCATGACTTGGGGCAAGGGGACAGTTATACTGGATGGCAGAACTGGGACTCTGCTAAGGAGAGAGAGGAGGGGAGCAGCACTTGAAGGGAAAATGAGTTTTCCCAGGGGCTGCCTTGGTCCTGGGTGCTATTTACAGATGGATCATTTTCACCTCTTGGTTCTCATACATGGGGTCACTGGAGAGGGTTCTGAGGCCATTCAAGGGCATTGTAAGCATCGTGGAATGATGGGTCTAAGTCCTGACCCAGCCCTAGGGGTTGGAGGGAGACCCAAGGCAGCAGTGAGAACCAGCACTGCTGAGGGGGCTGACAGGGGCCCCCTCGGAAGAGCACTGAAAAGGAGTGGAATTGGGAGGAAGAGACTAGATAGGGGCCTGGAAAAAGGTGTGGGGGGTGGAGGGCTGGATGGAATGACGCTTTATGGGAGGCCTCAAAGCCTAGGTGCCTCCGGGCCCAATTTAATGCACCCGTGACCCCCATTAGCTGTTTACAGCCCCACGACGTCACCCTCTTCCTGCCTACTCCACATTCAGTTCCGCGGCTATGGAATGCAAGGGCTCTCGACTAGCATCATCAGCCCCCTCCCCACCAGCTCTCGGGACTGGAAGATGCCCCCGGGTCTCTTCACCCGTCTCTCTCGCCTGGTCTTATATCCAACAAGCAGCAGGGCTGTGGGATCAGCTGGCGTCATTCCAGGATCCCAGCTCTGACATGGAGACCACTCCCAGCACAGAGCAGAGAGGACGGGCATTTCCCCTGGGCCTTCAAAGGCAGCGCAGACAGAGGGACAGAACAGAGGACAGACAGACTACTGATACCTAGAAATATCTCTTATACAGACCACAGATCCCTGGGGGCCCCACCAAGCGCTGAGGGGTCAGATTAAAGTTCACTGCGATGACTGGGATGCTTATGCGTTTTCAGAACACTATATAAATAATACAGGGAAATGCCTTGCACCCATTCATCATGGGCTGTGACAGCTGCCTCGCGGGGTGTGCCCAGCTGCATCTGAGCGCAACAGAGCTGCAATGGAAGCTCTCTGCAGGGCTGCTGGCACCTGCACCTCCCAGCCTGCCTGAAACCAGCCCGCTGGGCGTGGAGTCATGGCAGATCCCACAGAGAAGATTCCTGGCAATGCGCTCAGAGAGAGGGAGTGTTTTCCAGAGCCCAGGACTAGGAATCAGGACTCCTGGCTTTTGGTCCCACACTGACTGTGTGACACTCACTTAACTGCTCCATGCCTCAGTTTCCCCATCTGTCAAATGGCGATAATAATACTAATTCCCGACTTCTGAGGGTGTTGCGAGGTCGCCTTAATGGCTGAAGCTGTCTGAGGGCCTTGCACGAAAGGGGCAGAGGATCATTGTTATAACCCAGGCTGGCTTATCCCTTCTCAGTTCCCACTACAGCTGTGAAGGCTGAAGCCAGCCACCATCATCCATCTGCAGGATTCAAGGAACCAAACAAGATTTCCACGTAAGGAATGTGTCTGCTGGAGACGATGCCCAGAGCTGGTAGGTCTCCACAGAACTACAGCCTACGCAGTCTCTCTCTGTCCGAGTTCACACCTGAGGTTACAGGTGCGAGACAGAAGTGTTAGCTGGGATCCCCTTATAACATGCACTCAGGTCTTATCAGGGGGCAGGCCTGCAGGACCATAAACACAGACATTTCCAGACTGGACCAGACAAGGGGTCTATTGTTCTCCAGGACCTTGTCTCTCTCAGGCAGTGGCCAGTACCTAATGCTCCAGAGGCAGGGGCAAGAACCCCAGAAGGGGCATTTAACAAGCAAGCAGCTTGCAGGAAAGTTTATTCCTGACCACAGGTAACTGGAGCAGGCGGGTTTCTACACCTTGTTTTCCAGCCCAAGGTTCCTGTGGAGGTTCTGCTGGTTGTGAGAGTTTCTATTATTAAACCTCTGCCAGCCGGAGGGGTTTACAACTCAGTGCCTATTAGATAACACAGGACTCTTAGACTAAGGGCACAGACAAATGACATTAACTGGAGCTGCCAGGAGATTCAGCGTTAGGGCTGTCACCCATCCTCAACCCACCCCCTTTTACGTGGGCACGGGGGTCCCCCACACTCCAGCAAGGGTACCCAGCGGGGACGAGAAGGGGGGATACAGATGTGGGGAGGTTACGATCCGGGGTTACAAATGGAGCTTGGGCCTGGGCTGGGAATCTCCTGCCTTGGCTACGGTGGAATATCCGGTGTGTTCCGCCTGTGACATGCACCCAGCGGATCTTGCATTGCGTTCAGCAGCTCCCCTGCAGCCGGGGAGCACCTTGCTGCAGGAGCCCGCCGGGCTCCAGGCCCGTCCTCAGCAGGGCAGGATCAACCTAGCCCAGGGCACCATCCTCCCAGGGTTGAGGCAGGTGGGGCACCAGCCTGCAAAGGCATCTCAGCAAACGATGCAACAGGTGGGGGGGGGGGGGTTCAGGTGGCTCAAATCCTGGGGGGTTGCCCCTGCTCCCGGCGCGGGGAGGGTTTGCTGCCTCCCCCCCCCAGCCCCCAGCCCCAGCCGCAAAGGAAAGGCTCTTACTGGTTTGGGTTTCTTTTTAGGGGTCAGGCTGTCATAGAAAGTCTTGGCTTCCTCCCAGCGCTGCGGCGTCCCGGCCTCCTGCGCCCCGCCGGCCGCTTGGCCATCCGCGGACGAGCCTTTCCCAGCGGCTGCCGGCTCCATCTCCCCGGCTCGGAGCGGGCGGCCAGCGCCGGAGCCCGGAGCGCGAGCGGCTGCGCTGCTGGGTCTCCCCGGGACGCGGCGCGCGCGACTCAGCCCCGCTGCTCCGCTGGCGGGGGCGCTTTATAGGGCCGCCCGCCCTGCGCCTAGATCGGAGGGGCCAGCTGGCTTAACCCGTGCGGCGCCGGAGCCTGCCGGGCTCTTCCCACCCAGCGCAGCCCCGCCCTGCAAGCTGAGGGTCGGTGCTGCAGACACCGACAGGGCCCTTCCTGCTCGTCCTTCGGCGCTCCGGGCAGGGCAGCGCGAGCTAATGGGGAGGGCACTTGACCTGGCTGGGGCTCAGGATGCCTGGGTTCCCTTTCTGGTTCTGCCACGGTGTGTGACCTTGGGCCAGTCACGTGCTGCCCGTGCCTCTGTTTCCCCTCTTGTCCACTTCGATCGGTGATACTCAGACTTGGCGCTTTAATGGGTCTCCGGCGGCTCTTTGCAGCACATGCTAGTCAAAGGCCCTGTGAGTGGCTATCTAGTACTAGGGTAAATGAAGCAATGACTTCGCCTGCCTGGGGCTCTTGGGGGTAATGGTGAGCGCTGATTTGGCTCCTGAGGTCTGAATATGGCTGCTTTAGACTGTGAGCCCATGGACTCTTTTATGATGTGTATGCACCGCACCTAGCACAGTGAGGCCTTGATCCCTGTCGGAGCCCCTGGGGGCTACAGCTGCTATTCTCAGGAGAGGGGCACAAGGGTATTCGGGGGCGCTCATAGAAGACAAAGACCGAGATCTGCAAAGGTATTCGGGCTTCTAACCTCTACTGAAGTCAATGGGAGTTAGGAGCCTAATTACCTTTGAAGATCTAAGCCTAGGCCCCTGCCCCAAGGAGCTAACTCAGATGGAAACAATAAATGGGACAACGGTCATGGGCTGCCCAGGGACTGAGGAGCGAGGCTGGAGGCTTGGCAAATGGAGTATGTTTTAAGGGAAGATCCCAAGTAAGAGAGGAAGGGTGCTTAGGGGCTGGAGATAGGAGGGTGCTCCCAAAATAGAGGATGTCAGGAAAGATGGTTGAAAGCGGAGAGTGGGGGAAGGAGGCAAAGGGAACAGGTAGAAGAGAGGGTACAAATAATACCTAACTCTGTCTAGCGCTTGTTGGCAGTCGATCCCCAAATGCTTCACAATCTTTAATGTATTTATCTTCACACAACCCCTGTGAGCAGGAGAGTTATCCCTGCTGTGCAGACAGGGACCTGAGACCCAGAGAGGCTAAGTGACTTGCCCAGGGTCACACAGGACATCTGTGGCAGAGCTGGGAATTGCACCTGGGTCTGCCAAGTCCTGGGCTAGGGCCCTACCTACTTAGAGTGGAGATATGCAAAGCCCTGGAAGAGAGGAGGAGCTTCAATTTGGTGCTGCAGAAGACAGGGTGCTGGTGTGAGGACTGCTGTGGTTGGAGCACTGAGAGAGGAAGATGAGCTAAGCAGTGACATTGGGGGGAGGGGAGATGCGGGCAGGTTGTGCTAGTCAAGGCATGAGAAGGCCGAGAGATGGGCCAGGCTTTTCACAACAGGGGTGCAGAGGAAAGGTTGGAATCTAGAGGGTGGATGAGGCAGGAAACTAGAATTCGGCGAGGGTCTGTCTGGGGGCACCAGAGAGGAACCCCACCTTGTGAAGCTGGGATCCAGGGAGGTGAGGGAGTTCTTGGCAGTGATGGAGACCTGCCCACCTTTTGATAAACGGATGAATGACGGGTTAGTCCTGCCGGTGGAGTGCAAAGGACTGTAAATCACCCAGAATAGTTGGGTGCTGGGTAAATGTCAGGGAGCCTCGAAACCTCTGGTGGGAACGGCGTGAGTCCGTCATCCTCCAGCAGGCGCCTCGGGGCAAAGATCCATGGTTTGGCGGTTTGAGATGGAGACACTGCAGTGCACGCATCAGGCTGCAGCCTGTGCATTAGTGAACGGAATTATTAATCTTATTCATTAGCTAATAAATCATCTCCCAAGTGGATTCGTTTATATAACCCAGCCCATCTGAGTGACGTCTGAGGCCCAACTTTAACTGCTAAAAAACACCATTTGGGACCCTTTGCCCCTACAGTTGTGCAAAGAAATGCACAGGCAGGAACTCACTGAAGCCAGGCTGCAGAAGGCCGATCCCCCCTCTCGCTGAGCACACGATAAAAGAAAGCAGCGTCTGCGGCAATGTTATCGGAAACAGCAAACACCCCTTGACCGCAAAACCTAGAACCGAGCCACACCCTAGACAAGGTCACTTCAAAGTCACTGCTGCACTGAACCTTCGGACTAGAGCTGGTCAAAAAAATGGAGACTGAAGTTTTCCATCGGAAAACGCTGTTTCGTTGGAATCGAAATGTTTCCCGGGCACGTGTTGACTTTGGTGAAACGTTAGACGGAAAAGTTTCCAAATCGAAGTGGAGTGTTTCATTTCAACTTTCGCGTTTCAACTATTTATGATCGGACCGTCATTATTATGGATAGAATATAGAACATTCTATATTATGCTCTAACATTTCATTTCAACACAGTCATGTCAAGGTTTCCAAATCAAAATGCTTCAGAATCTTTTCTTCTGTGAATATTTCAACCTTTCATCTAAATTTGGTACAAAACAAATGTCAAAATGTCAGAATTTTCCGCGGGACAGAAATCCCATTTTCTGCCCAGCTCCGCTTCAGACCAAGGGAACCAACAACCTCCCCCTAAACTAAATGATCCTCAAGGCACTAGACCAAGACCTGTGGAAGAACAGTATATGAGTCACTGGGAAGAACAGATCAAAACCAACAAACCAGGCTGTAGTGTTAGGAACTCAGACCAAATAGAGAATCAGGGCCCACCCACTAGAGATGGAAACGGAGCGACACAAAGCACAACCCGGGCAGGAAGGCACGAGGCTGAGAGACAACACCCCACCATACAGCAACCTGCTACTGGATCAGGCAAAACGGGCTATAGTGACAAATGGACCCAGGGGATAAAGCCCCAGACCCCATGGGCAGCGCCAGGCTGGGCAGATGCTAGGTAAATCGTATTCGTCTCTGCCAGGGCTCCGAGGGGACTGGCCTATTTACACTTCGGCAGCCATGAGGAATTTTAGTCAGGACTCCACACATGGACTTTGAGTGTAGCAAGGGACTGTTGTCAAGGCTCCCATTCGCTTCCCTTAGGACTCACCCTTCCTGCCTGTGAGATGCAACAAGGCCATGAGATATGTGTTGTGCACAATATTTTATCCAGCAATTAAAGGGGTAATTTTCAGAGCTGATTGCCCAGGGGCTAATCAGACCAGCAGGCGCCTTGCTGTCTCATTGTTAGCTAGAAGCACCAGGGAATGGACAACACCGGAGACGCTGTTGCATCTCATGTTCTAACCGGCACCTAAGGCTGGGGGCTATGGTGCTGCACAGGGTGCTGCCGGAGAACAGCATTGGCTTCAGAGGTGGCTCCCGTGCTGGAAATCCTCTCTCTGTGTGTTTGGTAACAGTTCAACCTTGACAAAGGACCCCAGGAAGTGCTGTGCCAGTCTCCCTACCCAGCACCGACACCAGGGCAGGAGTGGGAGGGTGGCCACTGAGAAGAAGCTACTTCACCATCCCTCCTGGAACAGATCCAGCGATTCCAGTCCAAGGCTTAAGTTACTGCCCTTTCTAATAGCATCGCTGGCTCGTTACCAGGCTCAAGGGCTGGGGCTCGCACACAGAGTAACACAGTTATGGGATTTGTACCGTTTCTCCTTCCCCAGACACTTGCAGAGCTGCACACGCATGGGAAAGTTCAAAGCGACCCCATCTAACCGACCTCAGCCCCCGCTAAGCGCAGGAGACTATTTTGTTGGGGCAAAGCCTTCAAGTTCCCCTGACCCCGTCCCCGACCAAAGCTTATAGAACTGCAGCCCACGCGTGACCCAGCCAGCTGGCCAGGCACAGGGACCCACCGTGACCTGCACGCAGCACCCGCCCAGAAAGCAGAGCACAGTCACCGTGGATGTCTCCGCAGCCAGTCTTTGTCGCCTCCCTCTGGGGCTCCTGAGCCTGGGAAGTGAAGTACCAAGCTCCCAGGGCAGAAGGCAAGCTCCCCCCACCCTGGCTTTGGGTAGCGCCCTGGGGCTGTCCCCTCAGGAACAGCAACTGGATAGCTTGTCTATGCTGCAGTTTCAGAGCTGTCTCCCTCCCTTATCCTAGCTGTGGGGCAGCTCCACCTGTGTAACGAGGGCACAGGTGTTGTACCAGGATAGCGTCTAACTCAGTGGTTCTCATTTGCAGACCCCTAAAAAAAAAAAAAGGCAGACGGAGGCGTGTGGACCCCTTTGGAAATCTTAGGCACAGTGTGCAGACCCCCAAGGGCTCACGGGGCACAGCTTGGAAACAACTGATTTAACTCCCGTGTAGGGGACAGTGGGAAAGGCCCCTGAGCCCCCTCTACACTAGGGCTGCCAGCTGTGCTCCTGCCGGTGCCAGAGCAATAACCGGAGAGTTCCTGGGCAATGCCAGGTAAACACGCTGGGGCAGCGACTCTTTGGGTCTGACCCCCGGCAAGCGCTGAGCGCTTCCGCCGCCTACGGCAGCTGCAGCTCCTCAGCCCCGCTCAGGATCAGGCCCTTCGCCGCCCGCGCTGTTGGAACGGGGCGAGAAAGGACAGGGACAGCCGGGGCAGAGCGGGGTTTGCCAAGGCAGCCCGCCTCCGCCCCGCGCCGCCAAGCGAGGCTCAGCACCCGCACTGCGGGGAGGCCTGGGGGCACTTGGCTGCTGAAGCCGTGCCAGGACCCTTTTATAGGATTAAAAAAAAAGAATTAAAAGTCTTTTAAGATGCTAATACGACAAGAGTTCCCTAGCAACCGGGGCTCAGTCGTTATCTTAAGAAGTTTGCGATGGGGGTGTGTGGGGATGGGGGGGGGGGGGGGGGGAAGAGAGAAGAGATCAAAATGAGGCAGCCAAGAGGAGACTGAAAAGGAGGAGGAAGAAAGGGGGATTTGCAGAGGGAGGGGATGGCTCACCAATGAGCAATGGAG